TCCTAAAGTTCGATTGACCAACCTTTTTTTCTTTTTTTGGATTATGTGTGTCTTAGGAGGAGTATTGTGACAAAGAAGAACTTGCAAGAATTGATTGTGGCCATATGTACCATATGGATTGTCTCAAAGAGTGGAACAAGATTGTGAACACTTGCCCCGTCTGCAGGAGGAGAGTGGCAGTTATTTGCCATTTTGCATTGAGATTCCGTGCATACCTTGGTCGCTTGGCTTGCAACTAATCAGCTTAGGTCGGGCTCAGTGAACTGATTTTGGTGGCATATTTCTGCATCAGGTTGTTTTGGCAAAGCTCAAGAAAGTTGAGTGAAACTTGAAAAATTAAGAACTATTCTAAGTTTGAGAAAAACAAGATTCTTTTCGTTTTTCTGGTTAATAAGTTTGATGCATTTGTCTTGCTTTTTCGAAGCTAAACATAATTAAGTACTCATGTTGCATGTTTTGAATGACTGATATCCGCCATATTTGGTTTTTATTGATATTTCTTGCAAATTTCATTTAGTTCTTGATATAGTTACTTGTCATAATGTCGAGTTTGCTAGCTAGGCTATGTGCACGGGATTGTTTGCCTATCTTTTTAATATGAATAAGCATTATTGTGTATGGATTGACAACATAATACATACACACATGCAAGCAAAATTTTCCGCAACTCTTTTTTGGATACCTCTTTATATGGCGTTGCTTCATTTAGGATGTAATATAATTGCTTAATTTATTATCTTAATTTTCCGAACTGTGTGCTTTCTATATGAATACGTGTAAATGTCTGTGTTTGTAACTGTCAATTTTCAGCTGAATGCCTCTCAAAGTGAGAGTCTTTCCATTATATAGAGAAAATAAAGATTGCACATCCCTAAAGATCCGCCATTCCTATCCCTAAAGATCAGCTATTCTATCTATACAAATCTGCCATTGAATCCCTCTAAATCTGCCTTGCTATCCCTCCAAATCAGCTATTCTATCACAATATTTATTCACATGATTCTACAACAAATGTATATGATCATGCTAATTTATATCACTATATAATTACATTAATATATACAATCATTTAGTTGTCTATCATGCTAACAGTAACTACATAATTATAAGCGTGTAGTATCTAATAGGTGATGATCCCAAAATATTTCAAATTTTTCTTCACCTTTCTTTAGCAAATCTTCTACTCCAAAAAACACTTCAGTATGAACTCGTAAATAATAATGTCCAAAAACCACGATAATGGTTGAGTCTGAAGATGCTGTCTTTTTCTGTATGTTACAGATTACAAGTGGTTGAGGATGAACAAATTTGATTGCGCTTCGAACTGCAAACCAAATAATTCCAAAATATATTGTTCTTGTGATGGATTAGTTCTTCTTGTAGTTTATTCTGATTTACTCGATAAACACATTTTTCTATGGAACCCCTGCACAAGAGAATCAATAGTACTTTCCCGTCCAGAATTTTCACTGTTACATTGTGTATGCGGATTTGAATATAACGTAACTAGTGAAGACTATAAGATCCTAGCAATTAACATGAATGCAGGTAATAGTCACAATATTTCGATTGAAATTCTCGTGCTAAAAAGTGGTTCCTGGAGAAGAATTTGTTGTCCTACTGGCATTCAGCATGTTAGAGGTTTTAGGAATTATGGTAAGGATTATTTTGCATTTGTACATGGAGCATTTCAGGATATTATACTATCGTTTCATTTAATATGTCAAATGAGGTGTATGAGAGATAACGTTGTTCGAGCAAATGTTTGATGTTGACATTATACTCTGCCTACTGCTTCATGGACCATGGTGTTCCAGTATTGGAAAGAATGCTTTGCTTTTATTGTATATCTAATAATATGCCGGTTTAAGTTGTGGATAATGAAAGATTATGGTGTCATCTAGGACTCGATTGATTACAATACAAGAAACTAATCTTTTTTTATTCCACTCAAACAGAAATATATGTTTGCAGATGGTGAAGTGCTACTAATGATCAGCAAACATATTGGATATGTTAGTTCTGCATTGATGACTTCTAGAGAACCATCTGGATTATGGCCCGAAAGTTATACTGTTAAGGAAGGAATTGCTTATACAGAAAGCTTGATCTCGCCTAAATTAATTACTTAGTATTTGCAGCTCATGTAAATTATATTGGTGCCCACAGCAACATGAGGGTGGAAATTGAAGCCATCGACTTGCAGACTTCTCTGCCATATTTGTTTGTTCTAAAATATCATTTTTTACATTGAGAACAAAATTACTTTTTTGATATACTCACAATCATGACCCAAAGTCCCCTTAATTTTTAATTTATTTTTTTTGGATAGGGTGTTCTAATAACACTTACAATAAAGGATTTCTCTTTTGAAAAAAGAAAAAGAGAGAAGATGCTTGAAGCATGGAGATGGAGTACGATGATTCCAATACAAGAACAAGGGCAACCTTCAGAATTGCAATAACAACTTTAGGTCAAGTTGTTAAGCTACATTATGAGAGGTTGTGATAGGGTGATGGATTTGAGGTTGAAGAGGATCATAAACTATTCTGGGAACTAGTTCGGATTTATGCCAAGACGTTTCACTATTGAAGCCATTCATCTCGTATGAAAATTGGTGGAGCAGTGTAGGGAAAGGAAGAAGAACTTATGCATGGTGTTCATCAATCTAAAAAAGGCTTACGACAAAGTTCTAAGGGAGGTTCTTGGAGGCTAGAGGGTGTAGGTAGCGTACACTAAGTACATTAAGGACATGTACTATGGAATCAAGACAAGTTAGAACGGTGGAAGGAAACTCGGAGCACTTTTCTATGTCGATGAGGTTGCACAAGGGATTAACCCTTAGCCCGTTTTATTTTCCTTGGTGCTGGATATATTGCTGTGGTAAATTCAAGGTGATGTGTCATTGTGTATATTATTTGTGGATGACGTAGTTTTGATTGACGAGACCACCAAGGAGTTAATGCTAATTGGAGGTTTGGAGATAAATCTTAGAGTTTACAAGATTTAGGTTGAGCAGAACCAAAACAAAATACTAAGAATGCAAGTTCTCTGAGGTAACACATGAAGCTTTACCTCATGAAGCTGACGTGGAGGTAGGGCTTGAGACATAAGTCATCCAAAAAAGGTAGTTTCAAGTAAATTGGGTCTACTATCAAGAAGTGGAGAAATAGATGAGGATATCACTCGGTGTATTGGTGCAGGGTGGATAAAACGGACGTTTGCATTCGGAGTTTTGTATGATAAGAAAGTATCACCTAAACTGTGAGGCAAATTTTATAGAGCGGTGGTTAGACTAACTAAGTTGTATGTGGTGGAGTGTGTCTAGTCAAGAACTCCACATTCACAAGATGAAGGTAGAAGAGATAAGAATGATTTAATGGATGTGTGAGTTTACTAAGAGAGATAAGATAGTTGAGGCAAGATGAAAGTGACTACTATGGAGGACAAGATGTTGGAAGCAAGGTTGAGATAGTTCGGGCATATGACGAGGAGATGCTTAGATATCTTGTGAGAGGTTGGCTATGGATGAATTCAGGAGGGGTAAAGGTAGATCAACGAAGTATTGGAGAGACATGACACAATTGTAGTATTATTGAGAACATGACATTAGATAGTAAGGTGTGGATGACACGAATTACGATAGAAGACTAGTAGTTAAGCAAGGGTCCTACTAGTAGGTAGGAGTGTATTGTCTTGTTACCCTTACTAGTAATCGTACTGCTACACTTTTAGTCTCTTATTCTTCGATTTTTGTTGATATTTTTCATTTCATGTGGTTTGATTATAATATTATTTTGTTCTAGTACTTTTCTGCTACTTCCATTATATTTTTTTCTGGTATGTTTTTGCCTTGAGTCGATGGTCTATCTAAAATGGTAGTTGTTTTACCTCACTCCCTAGGTAGAGGTAAAATTTATCCACAATCTATTCTTCTCATACCATATCATATATCATATCATATATTATTAAAAGTGGGAAGGTTTGAGGTTCAAAGTTGGATTACTATTTTACCCCTACACTAAAATTAAATATTGTAAAATATCTAATTAATTAAATGCTAAATAGTAATCAAATCATTTTATACTAAATACTAAATCATCATATCATATCATATATTACTAAAAGTGGGAAGCTCCTAACCTCATAGTTGGATTACCATTTTGCCCCTATTTTACCACTAAATTAATTTAAATTAAATATCAATATATAATTAATTAATTAAATATTAAATAATAATAATTATTATTATATTTAAATTCATGCATCAAACAAGATCTTAATGCAATCATCGTATTCATGTACTAAATGTGGTTAATGAAGTGTTAAAACATAACCTTCAATCTTAATTTGTAATAAGTGGGGGTAATGAAGAGTCTATCAAAAAGACACTCCAACAACATTATTTATATTTTCTTTTTTCATCCAAATTTGTGATCAGCTTGCCCTCTATGTTAGGTTAATATGCATCATTTGTAAAATTCTCATTACCAATTTGTAATTGTAAGAATCCTTACTAATTCATTTATTTGTATTATTTTTTATTTCATGCATATTCATCTTCTTTTTATTGAGAAATATGTAAATTGTCATCGAGATGAAAACTCTATCAATATGGAATTGTAAGTAAATTTTGTTTTTTATATTTCCATATTTTTTAGTTTCCAAACATAACTTCATAATTGGTTATTATATTTCCGTATTCTTCATTTCTTCCACCTTTAGGATATAAATTTAATTAACACTTCGAATTTATAGGAGAAAATGATGAAAGAAACTTTAGAATATTTTTTATTTTAAGATATTTAATATAAAGGTAAGAAGAATTCTCCTTTATATTATTTGAGTGTCTTCATCTTTTTTAAATTGCTTTTTGAGGATATATTTTAGTTAATTAGTGTGTTTGAGTTGTTTCTGTTTGAAAATCAGCGTAACCTTTTCACCCACAATACAAATTTTATACAACAGTAGTAGGGTACAAACGTGCAACGCACGTTCCCAGAACTAGTATTATTAAAAGTGGGAAGGTTTTAGGTTCAAAATTGGATTACTATTTTACCCCTACACTAAAATTAAATATTGTAAAATATCTAATTAATTAAATGCTAAATAGTAATCAAATCATTTTATACTAAATACTATAAATGTGGAAAGGTGTTAAGTCAATTATTAATATTATTAACAATAATATTGTACCCCTACATACACTAAAATAAAATATTATAAAAAAATAATTGGT